CAAAACACTTTTGGAAAGAACCAGCCTAGTAACAAGATAACCCTCATTACTTCTATTGCTTCCTCTCTTCTTTGCCAATATTTTCTTTCTTTTGGATGAGGACTGTAATTCTTGTTAATTTTCTGTCATTCAACTGACTTGTATCCAATTTTTCATTTATTTTGCTATGTTCAATCAATCACAGACACAAACATTTTGTGAACATAATCAAAGTAACTGCACAGGCTAACCCCTGGTGGATCACTTCTTATGTCCCAAGAAGTATGCAAACTCCTTTCCTAAATAAACTCGTTCAGTCCTTACCTCTCAGGTAGTTTCTACAAGTAGTCCTATTTTCTTCATGGGAAAACTGGATAGGATAAGCAATTTACCTAACATCACATGGTTAGCAAGTGTTGCAGGATGTTAAAGTTTATTACAAAATATTCCTTCTCTCACTGCCCTTGAAAGTGGAAGTAAGTTACTCCTGATACTTCTTCAATGGCACTAGTCACTGTTTTCTCTATTCCTATCTAGAACTTTAAACTGTTTGTTGCTATTTTACCTAATTTTGCCTTGACACTATTTCTGTACATGACTCAATTATGAGGACATGCATCTGTAACTAGTATCTTATGGTCCTGATGCCTGACACATTGCAGGCACACTTCTAATGTGTGATAATGAAGACATCTCAGACAACTTCTAAAGTTATGAAGTTCAAATGGATTTTTTTTTTCTTTTCTGGAGAAGAAAACTTAATATTAAATATCTGTTTAATCAGGTTAAAAGATTTAGCCCTATTTATTAAGGGGATTTCCTTTAGAAATCAGTCAACAACAGGCTCTCAAGCACATGTACCACACACAAGTGCTCTCAAGACACTCTTGAGAAAAAACATCATTACAATCACATACCTCTCAGTGGTTTCAGTGATTTTTGCTTCCTGGTGGGTAGGTCAAATTCCTCCTTCCAATTACCTGGAGTTTGGTGTGGGACAATTGTGATCAAATCATAAATGTTTGAGGGTTCTCTTATTAGTCGTGAGGGGAATTAATCCACAAAGATAATCCCCAAATAAGTCATTTTAAAAATTGCTATTGGAAATAGGCAACTAAGGTCCAGAATTGAAATTTGAAAAGTCAAAAATTCACTTGTTAATATCTTCTTAGCCAAGAGAAGACCTGTCTCTAACTTGATTACACAGAAGAGTGCAATTCTTATCTCAAAGGAATGTACATAGGGCCATATAAAGGTGTCTGTGGCAAGACTCACTCTGTGTAGGGCTTGGGAAAACAAACCCACAATTACCTCATATCAACAGCGGGTGGCGGGGGGGGGTGTTAAGGAAGACTGCTTCCTACATCAAATTTATTTGCTTAATTTTTTAAAAAAAGGTGCTTATTGTGTTTTTATTGTGATTCTAGTCTTTTCTTTATCCTATACATTAATTTAATTCTGAGGTTAGTTTAAGGTACAGAGCAAATAAGAGCCTAGAGCATCTTCAATATATAATATCTAAAAATAGATTCCAAAGTAAACATGTGGTATGACTGCTGATCAGAGGGCCCAGGAGAGACCTCTAAGGTGACTCCTATGGGGAGGACTATAAGCCTAAAGTCCTTGCTTGATGGAACACCACCAGAAGTCAGTAGACCTTCACTCCTCCCCTGCCATGTTTCTCTTCCCATTAAGTCATTTAAAACTCAATAAACCAAAGGCATCAAGAGTAGAATCACAGCATAAAGGAACTGAGGTTCAACAGACTAAAGCACAAGCCTTCTCCAGCACTCCATGGGTCCCTTTTCACCAAGAACTTCTAAAGATTTTTTCACCCTACTATTCCTTTCAATACCTATACTACTTCTTTCTGAAGTGAATTGCTGGCTGCCTTGAAACAGCAATTTAATACTTCTACAGAAGGAAGCTCTTTAAAAAAGTATAGTCATTCTACTCTAAAGCTATTAAGCCAACATGTTTGCTTTCTTTGACCACATTTATTTGTGCACAGGTTAAATGGGTTTCTGCATTAGCTTCATAATTCATAACATTAACTTGATGTTTTGAATTTGTATGTACTTTCTAAACAGGAGGGACAATATCCAGAAAATTAAACAGCGCTTTTTTAACTCCATGGGGCTTACCAGTAAAATAATTCTTGGTTATTGTTGATGGTGAACATTTAACTTTTTTTCAAGACAAAGTAACTCTGATTGAGGGGCATCAAAGTCGTTCACGATGGTGTAAATTATGGAATTTTTGGGCTTCAGCACCTAAAGTTGTTACAGAAATGTGAAGACGAAGAGCAAACGAAAACAGAAAGCTATCCAAAAAATTCATATTTAAAAGGCAAAACTGTTTTACGGTTTTCATCCCTGTGGATAAAAAACTATTATACAGTAACAATCTTTCTCTAATTGTAGCATGTGCCTTAGTGAACACATTCCTTTACTATAAAACAAAACTAAACTTTAGGCCTCTTGGAAAGATAATAATCTGGTATTAAAGAGCTATGCCCAGAGAAAGGGATGTTGAAACGAATACTTTTTTTTTTTTTTTGCATTAAGAGACTCAGATCCACATTCTTAACACTTTGAAAAGAACTTGACAATAAAAGTGATACCATCCAAAGGCTGTAAGAAAATCTTTGCTAATGCTTTGCTAATGCTAATGCTTTCAACATGATATAAGCATGTGAAATGCCACTTGCTTCACACACAAGACCACTGACTAAGAAACTAACAAAAAGTCTTTGGCTAGAAAAATCCACTGTCACCAGGTGCTCATGGCTGAGCTACAGTTTTTTCTCAGGAGGACAATAAACTCACCTCTACTAATGCAATTGTTCTTACAAACCTGTTTAGTTGAGGTTCTAGCCTGCAAATGAACCATATGCCTATAAGAAATCTTAACTATCACAAAGAGAATGGCCTTCTGTTAGAAACCATTAAAATATAATCTCTTCTTGCAAAATGACGTATTTGGTAGTAGCATATTCATTGTCAAATCTGCTGTCACAAGATAATCTGGATATCCAGTAAAATAAATTGCTACAGAGTAATCACAACAAGACAGGGCACTGATCATGAAAAGTTTCACTTTAAGCCCAACATGCTCTTTCTGTTGAGTTGCAAGAAGGAAAATTTAAAGACCTGACATAAGTTTTTACATACAAACGATACTGCAGAAGTTTCATATCTAAAGTAAACTAGGAATGAGTAATTCTAATTTTTGTTGTAATAAATGTGTTGGCTATTTAAAAATTTTATCCTAATAAAAATTAACACTTCCATAAAAGGAAAGATGATGGCTCTTTGTATTATGTAACCAATACTAAAACTTTAAAAGCTAGAGACTATACAGCTTCCTGAGTCACTTAAATTATAGCATCCTTAAAAAGCAAATGGACTTTGGGAACACTAGAGATTTTCACTGTCTTTAAAAATCATTGTGGGCTGGGTTTCTATTGTTTAAATATTTATTATTTTGTGCATATGATGACAGGCACCTACTTAAGTGTTCAAACTTTGAGAATTTCCTTTTTCTAGAAATCACAGTTATTAAACTACAACAAGAGTTCAGAGTAAGTGGCAAGACACTTAAAAAAGATGACTGATGTACAATTTGCACTGAGTCATTTAGAGTTAACCACAAATATTAAAATGGGTTCTGTAATTGGAGCAAGTTAGTAAAATACTGGGAAGCAAAGTGATTTTAAAACCATCTGCATTTTGTGAACCGAAGTGACAAGCAACCCTTAGAAAAAATAAAAAATATATATAACTCATATTCCATTTTAATCTGGGAAAGTCACCTGAGCTTTGTCTTCAAGGAAAGACTAAGTTTATGAACGATTAGGGCTAAATCAAACAGTCCTCACTCTAAAAGGAAAGTCTGGTTAGAAGAGTCTGAAAGAGGATGTATAGATTAAGAATGGAATCAAGAATTTTACTGCCTCATTTTTACAGATAACGAGTTTTCCTCATTCTTAATTTCAGAATTTGATATAATCCTGTTTTCTCTCTTCATTTTCCATCAGATGCACAATCAGATAATGTTTCCATTCACAGAGATTTGAAACGATCCTCATGCTGAGAGGGTTATTTTATTTCATAGTAGCCAAGGGAAAGAGGTTGCTGCCAGTATAATGTTAAGGGCATACAGAATAAAGGCTCAGTCCTGGGCAATGAAACAGACCACCTTTGTGCTTCTCTTGAGGACAAAGCATGCAAACCCATCACCAACTTTGGGACTTGATCAACAGTGGGGAGTCACAAAACTCTTTTCAACCACTGCATTTTAAACCTCCACTAAAAATAGCTTCTCTGTACTGGGGCTTAAAGTCCCATCTGTGGCCAGTGACGAGTACAGTACTTAATTGTTTCTGACTAGGGTCTCTGTATCAGCACTCTGAGAGTGTCTTCTAACTTTTCATCGCCTTGTGTGTTCTTTAATTAGACCTGTTCACAAGATAGCCAAATGAAAATGCCTACCACTAAGCCTACTCAAGACCTTAAAACAGGCCATTTCACATGTCCAGGAACTTTTGTACAAAGCTAACCATCTTCCAGTATTAATCATTTTTCTCTGGTTCCGGTACCTTAAAATCAGACACATTTAGAGGAGGTAAGCCCTGTGGCTATTAAGACAGCTCTAATGTAAAGACATGGCCCGGTGACAATTCCCTCCTTGTCTCTCCATTTCCTTTATTTTGGTCTGTCACTGCCTGTTATCTGTGCTCCTACTAGGGCTGGAGAAAAACATGTTTTCTTTGAAGGGGGAAGCGCTTAGTCCCTTCACTGATAGGAACACTGAGACTTTCTCTAAGGGCTAGGGTAACTAGAAAAGGGCTCTACTCTCCCGGAATGATTTCAGAGCCCAAAACACAGAGGTACCCTTTAACTTAGGCGGGAGATGCAAAGAGCTGAAGTGTCTGTCCTTGGCCCCCACAGGTGACCTGCAGTAGGACCAGCCCACCGGCGGCGCCCCTCGGCTCCGGTCACTCCCGCTCCCGGACTCACCTGGTGCTGAGGACCAGCGCCGGCAGGAGAGGCAGCAAGTAGTGCGCTGGGCTGAATTTCATGCTGTCGCCTGCCGGGGTCCTCCTTCCCTCGCTGCCTTTGCTCTCCCTCCTCCTCCGGGTCCTGTCGCTCCGCGGCGCCTGGCTCTGTCCCCGGCCGGCGAAGAGCCGTCTCCAGCAGCGGACGGAAGGAAACGGACAAACGGACGGACGCCTCGCGAAGGCAGGCACTGAGAGCGGGGAGTATCTTCGGCAGTGATGTCACCAGCGAGGCGAGCCCTACCGGGGATTGTTCGGCAGGCCGCTGCTCCCGAGCCTGGAGGGCGCGTTGTCACTCGCGCTGGAGGCGGCGCGGGCAGAGGGAGGGGGGGGCCCGGAGATGGCCCCGCGCTCGGGTCTACAGGCTGCGCTCACCCGGCTGCACACCCTCTTGGGGCTGATCATTCATTCTCCTTCTCTGGAGGCTGGGGAGAAGGAGGAAGGGGAGGGGAAGGGCGGGGCGGGGGTGGGGGGCGAAGAAAGAAATCTAATCTTCCAGTAATTGAGCCTGAGTACTCAGCAGGATGTGAGACAGAATTCACTGGGAAAGACTCTCAGACGCTCAGAGTCGCTCAGAGTCGCAGGCAGGTGTCCCTCACCTGATTACAGTGTTTGGAAAAATGTCGCTCTAGAGAGTGTTTCAAATATTCTAATCAGAAATGCATAATGATTAGCCTGAGCCAGATATTAGAAAAGCAGGAGTGAGCAGTGTCCAGAAACGGACCCTGAGCCCATAAAGCTGCACTGCAAGGTTCTTAGTCCGGAAACGTGGAATATAAAGAGGTTTCGGGACATAAGTTAAAACGTCTGCTGCTTCTGGGTTTTGAAGATTTCTGATCTTCCTTCAATTTCAATCTGTCCCCTAGTACCAGCAGCGGGTAGTGGGGTTGGAGCTGGTGGCCCAATTGCACTCACCTGAAGGGGTCCTTCCCTTCAGGTGAGGAGATATATCAAAATGCTAACAGCAATTCAGAGTGGTGGTATCCGGGGGCAAAAGACTGTCGTTTTGTTTTCTATACTTTTCAAATTTTCTATAATAAACATCTGGTATTAAGCTTTATTTTTGGAAAAATTAGTAAAATAAAAACTCTAATACAAAGTAGTATTTTTGTAAAAGCAAGTCTGGAAAACAGCCAACTTCGCTTACTGAGATGTTCAATCCTAGGGTCCTTACAACATGGTTTATTTTTGATCTTCCAGCAGTATTTCTTGGTTAAATGTTATAAAGTACTCCTTCATACATTATTAGATTGATCCTCACCAGAGTCATCCCAGAGAGATATAAATTAATGTTGTCCCTATTACAGAAATGAGGTAACTGAAGACCATGAAAATTTAGGCTGGATAAAAAAAAAAAAAAAAAAAAAAAAACAACAACAACAAAGAACTTGATTCTTTTAAATCTTAAGCAAACCCTACCGTTGCCTGGAACATTATACCTAGTACAACTAACAAAAAGCTGATATTCAGTAAAGACCGAAGTGTACCAAAGACCCCGAGGGGCAAAGGTCAGGTGGTCAACAGGAATTCCTATCCAGAGGGTTCAGCTCACATTCTATTTTCTCAGGAGCAAGACCCTTACAGTAAAATGTAGATGAAACATCCCTTTTAATCTAATTTTTGAAACATGATTTGCAAGAAAAATATTTGTTATAAAGCTTTATTTTAAAAAGGATACAAGCTTAAAGAATTAATCATCTAATGTACTGATTTGTTTTTGTTTTTGCTTTTAATGGGACTGAAGTTTAAGACATTTATACAGAACAGATATTGCTTTCAAACCCCAGACTACTAAAACAGAAGAGTAATAACTTTTGCAAACTGGATACCAGCCCCTTGGACAATAGGGTCCACAATAGATAGAACTAGGCATATATAAAAATGAACTCACATATGAATTACATGTCATTTACAAAGAAAAACTGCACTACACTCTCCTAAAACAGAACTCTGACTCCAAAGGAAAATATGTATTTCAGTTTGCTCCCGTCAAAATTATTTAACAATAGATTTCCTGCTCAGTTTGGAAGGTGATCATTTGAGTTACATA